TGAGGCCTGTAGCTTCGCGTAGATCTGAGGGTTCGTGAACTCCTCCTACAGCTGCGAGGCTTCGCTGAGCCTGTGCTTCTTCCGCGAACCGCCGCTCCATCATGGACATCATCTGGTTGGTGAACTGCGTCATGAACTCGCCAGGGTCGAAGTTCTGCGTTGTCTGAAGGTGCAGGGGTGTGGACGCAGCGTTCGCAAACGCTGAAGTGTTCAGTACCTCTGGTTCATTGCATTGAGATGCTGGAGGTAGATCATCAGATATCTGGCAAGTTATGATCGTTGCATGTGAAGATCTAGTCGTAGATGTTTAAGAAGTCGTCACCCTCATCGGTACTTCAGGTAGAAGTATCGGCGGTTCATCAAAGACGTCTTCTTGTCAAGGGGTAGGATCTCTTCGCTGAAAGATCTATGCTGAGACAACTTCTTAGGACGCACCGACTTCCCCGTCGCTGCAGCTGCCTTTATCTGCGACGTGGAGGATGACGTCTACTTCTTAAGAGACGACGTAGGCTGCGAGGTAGTCATCTTCTTTTTAGCGCCTGTAACAGCTGACTGCCCCTGTAAAGAACTCCAGTTATCACCAGAGTTATGCATCTCAACTGCAACAGATAACTCACGGTTTGCAGACTCATCTCTGTTATTATCCATCGTGACTGCCGATAATTTCCTCACCCTGTCCATGGCACGTCTGAATATATATGATAAATATTGGCTAAATTGTATTTGTGACAAATAAACACAATAATAACAACGTGAGTTGGAAGAACATGGTGTACTGCACGAAGGGCATGGGGGGTGAGGATCAGCACGAGACAACCTGTGCCTGCAAACAACACCTGAGTTCATGAAATGTAAACACAATTACACAGCATGAAAATATGGCACAATTCAAAGTTTTTACGTAAATAAATTACACATAATATATTATTATGATAGCCAAAACCATAAACAGCGTAATTTTACAATAATAGGCCTAAATGAACAAGGATATATGCCGTATAGGGACTCCAAGTACTCGCCCAACCATTCACTTTGGCGAAAAGGGAGAGAGTGACAAGTATGGGCACGTCACATGGTATGTTTGCGCGGGAAAGGGCAAGGGAGGTAACTCGTGGGTGAGTATTTATACGTCTGCTTGAGGGAACTTCAAGGATTCAAGTGTTCCACTACCATTCGAAAAGAAAAGGGAGATAAGCAAAAGATCATGAGTCAGGATAAGGAAAAATATGTAATTTTATTCTATTTTGAAGATCGATAAGCTCGAAACAAAATGCTCGATGAAACATAGTCAAAATGGGTTAATTATGTCTGCAAAACAATCTGTATGAAATAGTTTAAATAAAGCGACTGTAGATGTTAGTGAACTCAAAACAACTAATCGAACGGTTTCCGCACCGTGCAACGTCATATCATTACGTCTACGATTCTTAGCGATATAGCTCGGCGGAGAAGCGGGTAATAATTCTTCCAGTTACGGAACCTGTTAAAGCGTCACTGACCAATGAAATTAAAGTATTTTACATGAAGGTAAGATAAATTCTCTTCCACCATCCAACCTGCTTTTAAGTTGAGTCTGCAAAACAATGCCATGTATGAAATAGTTTAAATAAAGCAGTGAAAGTCTATAAAGTAGATGTGTGCATAGTGAACTCAAAAACAACTAATCGAACGGTTTCCGCACCGTGCACTGCATGCGTCATATCATTACGTCATACGATTCTTAGCGATATAGCTTCTCGGCGGAGAGATTGGCAGCGGGTAATAATTCTTCCAGTTACGGAACCTGTTAAAGCGTCACTGACCAATGAAATTAAAGTATTTTACATGAAGGTAAGATAAATTCTCTTCCACCATCAAACTGCTGTTCCTCACTGATGTAGATCGCCGCCATATAGCATGAATATTGCAGGTTGCACCGTTAAACAAGATAAATTCTCCTCCACCATCCAAAATGCTGTTCCTCACTGATGTAGATCGCCGCCATATAGCTTGAATATTGCAGGGTGCACCATTAAACAACAAACCAACCAACTAACATTAATGTAGATGCTAAAATGGTAAATTGTTATGCAACTGAGACGAAATGTATAAAATGAAAATTGCCCACGCATTACTTTACTTTATTACTACACAGGCAAAGCCCTTTTCTATAATTGCAAACAATTACTATGAAAACCAATGTGCTTCCCTTCTTTCCCGCCACATTATTGTTAATTGCCATAAGTCACAATTGTGAGATAAAGGAATGGACAAGGGTATGCTTTATATTGCTGATATGTATATCCGGTTTATTGTCCCTCGCCGCAACACGGAACGGGGGACTATGTATTCAGCGGCGTTCGTACGTACGTACCTCCCGTTTCTTGTTAACGCGATATCACGTGATCTGTTGTACCCAATGTCTTCAAATTTGGTGACAGCTTACAATGGGGGATTACGCAGACACCAGTCTATTTTGGTGACCTTGACCTTATTTTCAAGGTCACCACACTACTGTGACCACTTTTCAAACTCATGTTAACGCGATATCTCATGAACTATTGTCCCTAATGTCTTCAAATTTGGTGACAACCTACATTAGGGGATTACACAGACACCAGTCGATTTTGGTGCACATTAGAATAAAAATGGCCCATTACAATTTTGATACTGATACAAGGCCACGAAGCCCACCCCTCCCTTTTCGAGACTAAGTCCAAATTGTTTCCATGTAAATCATGACAAATATAAATGCCAAATATCTGTTGATAGCAAAATGCTCCACTTCGAGATATGTCTCATATATCTGCTAAGTTCAGTTGAAAGACATTGAATGGTTTTCGAGTTGTGATCCGGAAATGCAGCCCACCCCTCACTTTTGAGGGTGGGGAATAAAAATGGGATGCTGTGATCTAACTTGACATTAGATGCTGTGACGACGTGCTTATGACGTAACAATGCCACGACGACAGCATTGTGACGTCACGGGCAGAGTTAACAGTTACTGTTCCATACCAGGACCGTCCTGTTTTAAAACCAGAGTCATGGAATAGCCCTAGAGCGTAATCAACATCACAACACAACATAGTATGAAGATTAACAACATAAGTTTATTCAAAAACATATTACAACACACACACTTTCACACATGAAGCATCCATCTTCACACTCACTGTACACACCTTGCATAATCCCTACAGGTAAACACTATTCATTCACCCATCCTACAGTTTATGTCTCACACGACTCTCAAAACACACCTTCCTACATGTACAAGCAATCACTTTACATACCCACACTTCTACTGCGTAAACACACACACACACACACACACACACACACGTTACTTAACATTATAATATACTAAGCACTTATACCTAGAATTTTATCACACTGTTTTACTGTTTACCGACATACATGAACCCTACTACTAATTACATGTACTTGTAACTCATTATTTACTGTGACAACAGACCATACCTGAAATACATGATTCGTACAACCATAATCACGATATATCCCTGTGCCAACACATAACTATTAAATAGAATGATTAAATGTTCAGTTCAAAGATGGTACTGCTCAATGTCCATTCATGTCCACATATGAAGGTCAACACACGAGAGTCAGACACATGTCAACACACACAACCTGGCCATGGTCAACACCTCCATGGGATACCGTCTACACCGTAACGAAGCGCCATCTACTTCACGACGCCATCACGACGCAACACACACGCCCGTCACAGACCAGGCCTGCTCACGCAACGAAGCTCCCTCTACTTCACGACGCCACCACGACGCAACACACATGCCCGTCACAGACCAGGGCTTCTCATTCTAATGAAGCGCCTCTACTTCACAACGCCACCACGACGCAACACACACTCCCGTCACAGACCAGGCCTGCTCACGTAATGAAGCGCCCTCTACTTCACAACGCCACCACGACGCAACACACACTCCCGTCACAGACCAGGCCTGCTCACGTAATGAAGCGCCTCTACTTCACAACGCCACCACGACGCAACACACACTCCCGTCACAGACCAGGCCTGCTCACGTAACGAAGCTTCCTCTACTAAGTGGTCACGACTTTACACACACGCACACGACTATCAGTAGGTATTTGCTTTAACAATTGGAGTGAATCATAAATACACATCACTACATTTCACTATATTCTATTGCTTACACGCCGAAACTGTACTAATACATGAATACTTTTCAACATTTTATGGTTATATTACCAATTGACTATTGCAAAAAATTCCTTAAATTCACAACATATAAATATAACGTTAGTTTTATTATAACGCTATCATTGACACATTAATGCAAATCATACAATTGATACAATTACAACAAATTATGCAATTCGCACAATTTCCACAAATACTCAGATTTCATACACAAAGCCTACATTGCATTCGCATAAAGAAATCATTCTCAAAATTGTACTCACGTTCACTGCAAAGAATGACAAAACTAAACATCCTATCAAATAATAGAAACCATTAACAGTACTTTACCACTTCTATATTACGCCTAAGTGACAATGAAATGTTCCACAAATACAGAACCTAACAGCAATATTAATTCCATTGATAATAAATAAATGTACCTACGTCCAAGCGACCAAATATGACAAGGGAAAACACAGAATAGGTCCGATGTGGATGCTCTCCAAAATCGCTGTGCGCCAGGACTACAGCCTGACCAACCTATGTAGAACACACACACGTGCTGCATGTTTTTCCCGCAAGCAAGTCCATGCTGGGAAAATATGTCAATTGTATGCTTATACACTTTAGTGTATATCTATGTATTGGTGAACTAAGGAATAAACACACATAAAAAACACGTGCATGTATGCATATGTTATTTGAAATTACCTGAGTTTGAAAATACAACGACTCAATAAACTGGTGTTTTGAGTTGAAAATAAATCGGTATAAGTGGATATGACTATTTTTACTCTTGATACTTAACTGTTACATGTTTTCTTTTTGTCTGCAGCATACACAGCCCTGTCACCATAATGTGGAAGTTGTTGGTAAGTATCATATGTCTAAAGAACTTTGGGTGAAGAAGGTGATCAGGTGTTTTGGCTTCCGTGATAACCGCCTCTTATATAACCTATGGAAACTCTACTATGACGACGTTTGTGTATTCTGTGTTATTGCTCACATGATGGCAGTTGCTGCTGCTGCTCATCCACTGAAGCCTCAGACACCAGGGCGAAGCTAAAATGCTGTAGTTCTAAATCAAGGACCAACACTAACATTAGGCAGGCTTGCACAGTAATGCACAGTCTTGTATATGATTGGGTGATGACATTAGGCATGCTTGCACAGTTAGGCACAGTTTTATATATGAATGGGTGATGACATTAGGCAGGCTTGCACAGTAATGCACAGTCTTGTATATGATTGGGTGATGACATTAGGCATGCTTGCACAGTTAGGCACAGTTTTATATACTTAGTCAAACAAGAAACTTCACATTCTTTCTTCAGGGAGATGGTAAGATGGTTAAATTGTTATTATTTCATTGCTGAGATCTGTGTGATGTACTCGATACACTGACAGTGCCATAATCAGTTCCATTAGGCTACACCGCCGTTCCAAAACATGGGTATACAGAATGTCAAGTCACAAGAATAAAAATGCGAAATTTCTCAGTTCAGTATCGTGTATGGCCGCCCCGCGCATTCACCACTGCCAAACACCGTCTCCTCATCGACTGCCTGATGCTTGTGAACACGTGGTTGGGGATTCTGCGCCATTGCTCTTGCAAGACAGCGCCAAGTTCCTGCAAATTCTGAGGTTGGTTCCTAAGACCACGAAGCCTTCTCCCAAGTGCATCCCAAACGTGCTCTATTGGATTAAGGTCAGGGGACCTCGATGGCCAGTCCATGACGTTGATTCCAGCGTTTTGAAGGAAATTTCGTGTCAACATCGCGGTATGCGACTGAGCATTATCATGCTGGAACTGTAGACCTGGGCCATGAGCCGCCATGAAAGGAACAAGTTCAGGGGTGAGCACCTGGTCGTGGTAAGCAGCAGCTGTGAGGTTTCCACGGATGACCAGAAGTCGGGAACGGTTGTTCCCACAGAAAGCACCCCACAGCATGCAACTTCCGCCCCCGAATCTGTCGACTTCCTGCATACAACATTGGGCATACCGTTCACGACGTCGTCTCCAGACTCTATGCCCGCCGTCCGCGAATCTGAGGATAAACCTGGATTCATCGCTAAAGACAACTCGATTCCAGTCTCTCTGGGTCCATCGGAGGTGACGTTGGGCCCACAGCAGACGTTGACGTTGATGAAACGGCGTCAATATTGTCGAGAATGAAGATTGGCAGCCCGCAACCGATTTCGAATGGTCTGTGAGGACAGTCGACCTCTAAACATCTCAGCCCTGGTTCGTGTAGCCGGCAGAAGTCTGTCACGTAGGTGACGTAGGACGATTTGACGGTCTTCTGCTCGTGACGTGGATGACACGTGGACGACCCGACCTTGGGTGATCAGAAGAGGTGCCAGTTTGTTGTAGACGACCTCGCAAGTCATACACAGTACGACGGCTGCATCCCATTGTTCTTGCGACGTCAATAACTGATCTTCCCGCTTGCAACATGCCAAGGGCACGTACACGTTGCACATTTGACAATCGTGGCATTTCAAGTACCGTTAGAACTGTGGTTTAAAAGTGTTTTTTCAATTCTTGAGGCCAATGCAAACACGTGCATATGAAGAAAACTCTAATTCGAAGATCACGTGATCGACTGCACGTGCAAAACCTGATTTGGCACTAACGTCATTTGCACGACGAATGGATGGGTTCGAGTCGGTTTTGCTAACGTGTTTCTAGAGTCGAAAGATAGGGATCCCATTTCGGATACATAGATGTATCATCAGAGAAAACTTATCCATTATTTTTTAAAATTACATTTTGTGAAGTTTCTTTTTTGACTCAGTATATATGAATGGGTGAAAAATATATATGAATGGTGTTACCATTTTGCATCTGGCACATTTAAACAGATATATACAGTTCATAAAGTTTGTCTATGAATCAGTTTGCGTTTGACTCATCTTCTTGCACTGTATTGTGGGTCCATTTACCGCATTTATAGCTAAATGTACTCTTAATTATTAGTAAGTTCAATTTGAAATATGACCATCATAAAATGCTTCGTTTTCTTCTGTTTAAGAAAGAAATCGTGAAAGAGGATGAAGGTGAATTCACTTTGGAAACCAATGACTTCTTTCGACCGAACCTGAAGCAGATTGGAAACAGTGTCTTTGATATCAGGAATTACTATATCCCTAAAGGTATTACTTTTCTGAAAGGTTTATGCAAAACTTGTGTCATACAGATGCAATTTCCCAGTTTGATGAAGACCATGCGATCCCATGTTGCACAAGTAAACACTTGCTGATATCAGTGTCACCAATAGGGTATGATATACTCATCATGCGATCCCATGTTGCACAAGTAAACACTTGCTGATATCAGTGTCACCAATAGGGTATGGTATACTCATCATGCGATCCCATGTTGCACAAGTAAACACTTGCTGATATCAGTGTCACCAATATGGTATGGTATACTCACCATGCGATCCCATGTTGCACAAGTAAACACTTGCTGATATCATTGTCACCAATATGGTATGGTATACTCATCATGCGATCCCATGTTGCACAAAAGTAAACACTTGCTGATATCAGTGTCACCAATATGGTATGGTATACTCACCATGCGATCCCATGTTGCACAAGTAAACACTTGCTGATATCATTGTCACCAATATGGTATGGTATACTCATCATGCGATCCCATGTTGCACAAGTAAACACTTGCTGATATCAGTGTCACCAATATGGTATGGTATACTCACCATGCGATCCCATGTTGCACAAGTAAACACTTGCTGATATCATTGTCACCAATATGGTATGGTATACTCATCATGCGATCCCATGTTGCACAAGTAAACACTTGCTGATATCAGTGTCACCAATATGGTATGGTATACTCACCATGCGATCCCATGTTGCACAAGTAAACACTTGCTGATATCATTGTCACCAATATGGTATGGTATACTCATCATGCGATCCCATGTTGCACAAGTAAACACTTGCTGATATCAGTGTCACCAATATGGTATGGTATACTCACCATGCGATCCCATGTTGCACAAGTAAACACTTGCTGATATCAGTGTCACCAATATGGTATGGCATACCACCATGCGATCCCATGTTGCACAAGTAAACACTTGCTGATATCAGTGTCACCAATATGGTATGGTATACTCATCATGCGATCCCATGTTGCACAAAGTAAACACTTGCTGATATCAGTGTCACCAATATGGTATGGTATACTCACCATGCGATCCTGGTATACTCATCATGCGATCCCATGTTGCACAAGTAAACACTTGCTGATATCAGTGTCACCGATATGGTATGGTATACTCATCATGCGATCCCATGTTGCACAAGTAAACACTTGCTGATATCAGTGTCACCAATATGGTATGGTATACTCATCATGCGATCCCATGTTGCACAAGTAAACACTTGCTGATATCAGTGTCACCGATATGGTATGGTATACTCATCATGCGATCCCATGTTGCACAAGTAAACACTTGCTGATATCAGTGTCACCAATAGGGTATGATATACTCATCATGCGATCCCATGTTGCACAAGTAAACACTTGCTGATATCAGTGTCACCAATAGGGTATGATATACTCATCATGTCGGTGTCATTGCTGTTTGATAGTGACTCAAAAGCACATGCTCATGTTATAGCCGGATTGTGCTTGTAATAATCCACATTTGGCAAATAAAAAGTAAAAGGTCGCACTAGATATGCATTAAATCTGAGATCTTTTCCTACATATCATATACGCATGTTTGTATCCTCTTTGAAGTCACCCAATACATATCATACATGCATAAGTCAAGAACGTTGTAAGTAAGGTGATGAAACATTTAAGTACAATATATATATGATTGTGAAATGCATGTGTACGTATTCTTTCGAGATGTAATAAATCAACTTTAAGTACTCTACTGTGAATTAAATATACTGAACCACAAAAGAAACGTCGCCTTACAAAACCAAATGCAAAATTTTGTTCTTACAAGGTGGCGTTTGCATTATGATTGTACCGTTTTGTTAACATGTTTTTCAATCCAAACTGACAGTTATTACCAACATCAGTGTGTTTTCTGATGAAAAAGCATATCGACCAAAAGCACCGAAAAAGGCAAACATGGTAAAAGGTTCCATATGACATTCGTGAAAATGAAAATGCACGTGCATGTCGTGACTTCCCTACCAATGAAAGCGAGTCTCAAACTCGCCTAAATTATTATTTTTTTGACACAATCACCATGCCACGACTTACGAGAGATCAGGCCCCGGGGTCATGAAAGATACTTAAGTCTAAAATTTGCTTAAGTCTGTCATTTTGATCTTAAGTCCAAAAAAATGTCTTAAATCGGGGATCACGTACATTTTTTAGTCTTAAAAGTTAAGACTGAGATCATTTTTTGTCTTAAATCTTGAGACTGCTACCTACCAGTCTTAAGTCCTTTTTGATGCCGAGGTTTTTTTTCAGGCGCACAATTTCATAAGGTTTGAAAAGTGAACGTTGTGCGAGATTTGCGCTCGCGTGGTCATGGATCTGCGTACAGCTATAAAATTACACAGAAATGTGGAATATTAAATTTCCTATCCGTTGGTATAAGTATAAATGCAAAAACCTCGGCGGTTTGAGAAATAAACACTGCTAAATGATGTCCAAAATTTTGCTATGCATTCAAAAACAGTAAATTTCTCCGGTTTTGATCGTGCACCGGTAAATGCACTGTGCTACGATTTTTTTAATTTGGCATCTTTACAGAAAGTGTGAGCGAATAAATTACAGCCTGATATCTGAACGACATAAGTATATATGAAATGGGTTTATTTGCTTATGCATAACGTCATACGCTCAACATTAAAAATGACTCGCAATAAATGTCAAAAATGGATTTTCTTCTATGACGTCAAAGGACGACAGAGAGGTCATACGCGTATAAAGATAAGGGGGCATAACTCCGCTATGCTTAACACTAGGTCAATGTAACTCATATCACTTGGAGAGAATTCGTTGTGGATACGGACGCTATATTTTCCTTATGTTTTGTTCACCGTGAACCAAACTACATGCATTCCAATACAAAGTTCCCCAATGTGAGCGGATACGTTTTAGTAGTTTCACAAGTTATAAGAAAAGATGACAATGTACTACATGAGAAAGCACGTAAAAGCGATTTGGATGGCCCTATCCGATATGTAAATTAGTTCTTAAATTCACATATTCTCCTGTTTGTGTAGATGTATTTTGACTGATTTTGGATCATTATTTACTGAGTACTACCCATATCTTCAAATATAATGAAATTACTGAAAAGATTACAAAATTGTAGTTGACGTCATTGCTTGTTTTATGTATTTTGCGACGTCCGAAAAAAACGACACTGGTATGCTGATCAGTATCTCACATAATTTCCATGAATTGTGTAAAAGGTTTCGGTTTCTATGTCTGAATTTAACACGCTTGTGACAGAACTTAAAATGACTGATTTTACCATTTAAATAATGTCCTGAATAGATCCATAATTAGAGTTTGACTTTGTATCTTAATATGAACAACACACGCACCTGTTTGGCATCAATTTGACGTAAATTAAAAAGAATATTTCACAACCCCTGGCCCCGGGGTCATGAAAGTTAAATCGCTATTCATAACCTGTTCATATGAAACTGTAATATTGGTCCGAATGGCGAATATTGCACATGATACATGAACTATTTAAGTACATGTTGCAGTTACGCCTTCGTTTGTTCTTTTAGTACTTGTTTAAGGGTTTAAAATATGGTGTGCTACACTCAGTATATCAATTTCTTATGTAAATATTATTCAAACAAACAAAACCCTTGAAAGAATGAAAACCGTATAACCTATATCCAAGGATATGATATAGAACAAGGCTAAATGTAGATAATGAAATTAGTTTCATGAAAAAATATCTGAAAGATACTCAAAATATACACTGAAAGTGTAATCGGTGGAACATGGCGATTGTGTTTACTCTTATTCAACCGATCTTCACCTCAAAGAAATTGCCAAATATGTAACAACAATGATGACGTATATGACATCACAACCGTTGACCGATTTCTTACAAAATGGCGGCTTCGGTGACATGGGTATACAGGATTTTGCGAGGACCTTTCCTTTGATTCGGGGATCGTTTGTACATAACTGTGTGATGTGAGTAATCAGAATGATTCTGACTATCTGTGTATTGTTACATGTTTTATCGTTTTCATTGTAACTAAGAGAAGAAGCCAGATATGCCGATCATTACCGTTGTTGTTCTGCGAGATTTTCCGTCAGTCATGGCGTTACGCTGCACAGAAACTTTGACAATTTCGTATAAACATATCACATTACTGTATTATATCTATTATTTTTTGCTACGATACTATTTCCATGTATGTTCTAAAAGTATTGAGCCTATGCATGCTACGAATAGACGAATGGGTTTCTGAAATTTGAGAAAATGCAGTACACAGTGTAAAGTCTCAATGTTTCTTTGTTTACATTTCAACAAGTGCTGTCTTTCGCACACAGCGTTCGTTTAATATCACCTAGACACTTGGTTTTAGTGACAAAGACCATTTCTTATTTGATACTAAAATGTATGAGGAATTCAGTGATGTATTTGTCACAGCTTAATAGGAAATATACGTGATGTAATAGGCGTCTCAATACCGGCCTTCGCGAAACCTGATTTTGAAAACACTATCCAATGCAATATGGCAGAAAGCGCATTTAGGCGTTCGTGTTGGTGTATTTCGAAAACATCCCAACCTTAAAGTCACCGCGGCAGGGATAAAAGCGTCAGTTGACTTGTTTGGAACATTTCAGCAGGTGCCTGCTACTAAACTATTCTCCTCAATTATTTAAGGGTGACCGGACATGATTACATCATTCTAAAATTGCCATGGTAACTGTCTTAGTCTTAGTCTTAGCTAAGATATTTGGCTGAGACAGTTTCATGATCCAGTCTTATCTAAAATCTTAGCTAAGCAAAAACATTTAGACTTAAGATTTTTTTGTGCTAAGCAAATTTTAGACTTAAGATTTTTTTCATGATCCCGGGCCCTGAAGAACCAAGTCTTGGGACGATTGCAAGTTGTCCAGACTGCACGGAGGGTAGCCAATCATTTTAATGTTCATGTTAGGACAATCTACCGACTGCAGGAGTAGTATCAGGTCACTAACAACATCCAACACCGCCCACGCAGTGGGCAACGTTCAGTAACATCACAATGTCAAGACCGACAGATTGTGAGCAACCATCTGCAGGATCGCTTCCCCAGAGCGACGGAAACAGCACGCCAGAGTATTGGGAGTCACAACAGACCCATCAGTGCCGATACAGTGCGTCGACGTTTGCGTGGAAGAATCCTCTGCTGTCACAGACCATATCGTAGTTCTGTCCTCACCGCTCATCACCGCCAAAACCGATGGGCAATGGACTACCCAGCATGGAAATTGGCGTTATCAACAATGGAGAAGTGTGCTTGTATCTCATGAAAGCCGATACTGTGTTTCGGCAGTCGATGGCAGAGTGAGAGTCTGATGAAGGTGTGGGGAACTGTTTTCCAATGAGTGTATTGTTGAAAGAGACTCGTGGGATGGTCCAAGCATCGTGGTGTGGGGTGCAATTGGTCTGAACCAGTTGGTTGACTCCGTGGTGTTCCAGAATCTTGGTCCGGGATTAGATAATGGCGTGACAGATACTCGCTATATTGACCAAGTGATAAGACCCCACGTTGTACGACATTTTGGTCGTTACAGAAATCACATCTTCTAGCAAGACAACGCTCGTGCCCACACACTGCCAGAGCAAAGTAGACTTCCTCAGACAACATGGCATCCAAACCCTACAATAGCCTGCACTCACTCCAGATTTAAGTCCAATAGAACACCTTTTGGACGAGATTCAAAGAAGACTGAATGACCTCCAGCCAAGGCCGACAACTGCGGCTGGCCTCGATCAGGTATTTCGCACAGTATGGATCCAAGTGCCTATGGCCTTCATCAACCGGCTAATTCATTCCATGTACAGACGATGCAACACTTTCATCGATGCCCATGGAGGGCACACACAATACTGACTTTTGGGTGTCTTAATGGTACCATTTGTGGTGATTTGTTTGTGTGAACTCTAAATGTGATTCGCGAAACTGTGTTTTCCAGAATTGTCAAGTGTGAACTCAATCCTCCGTTTTGATTGTTAATTAGAGTGAATTAAAATGTGTGCTTTAAAAAAATCCGCTACCGGTGCGACATATCTTTGTGGTTCAGTATATATGCCAACATGAATGTGTGATCCGTTCATTCTATAAGCAAACCTACATTCGTGTTGGCTCATGTGAAAGTTAGCAGCTTAGGAACAAAATCAGTTTTAGATTTAAGGTAGCAGTTCTTCTGATCAACACTTTATGTGGGACTTGTACATGTAAATAGTTAGTATTCAGATGATATCATTTCAATACACAAAGAATTAAAATAATCAAGAGCTACAATACCATGTCCTCTATCATAAAATAACTCTGTTATAAAGGGTTTCCATTGTTTGATTCCGAGTATATTAATTTTCCAAAAACAATATCGCATTAAACTGTATGGTTTCAGAAGGGGTCAACATTATTCCAACCAGCCTTGAAACACCATTGAAGGAAGTTAAAGAAAGACTCTTAGAACTTTTTGACCTCTGTGCTTTTAACCTGATTCGCCATGATTCAGCTAACACCCCTGTCAGTGAAAATGCTGTTGGAGGAGGTTTTGCATTCATCTCTAAATCCCTGGCTCCCGTTTTGGATATCCCTACCTCGGCTTTGGCGAATCATATCCGATGTGATGTGTTCATCGCCCTACCGGGGCATTCTGTCCTACTTCTTACCCTGGTGGACGGGGACTCCTTAACGGAAGCCTTGGAGTATAACATGTCAGTGGCTAGAGGAGTGACACGAACACTCAGTAGATTCATGGACGAATGTGTACACCCGGTACATGGAGTACTGCCCGTCTCAACATTATATGACAAAGTAACCTTTGAAGCTCACATAAACAAAATTGCAACAAAGTCGTCACACTTCATCACAAAGGACTCACTGCTTATGAATCCTACCAGGTATGTCAAAGTCCTAAACGCATTCTGGGCAGGCGTCGCAGAGACAAAATGTGTGAAGACAGAGCCTGGGAAAGAAGATGATGATAGTCTCAGATTTCTTACAAGTGAACAATGCATTGTATTAGTTGAGAACATCAACAACAACGATGTTCAGGTGATGTATGGACCTGGTACTGGAGCCTCTACCCTGATGCTTGAGGTGGCAAGGAGACTACGCAGGTTGGGGGACACATTACTGGTCTGTAAGTCTGAGGAAGAGAGGGATAGGCTAAGGTATGTATAGTTTAGAACATACAAAGTAGCATCCTGTCAAAGTGGAAACGATTCAAATTAACAGATGACAGAGATAAAAAATACTTAAAAGTTAAATGAGTTCTATTAAGACAGAGTGACTGATTTACTTCTTCAGAAAGGTGTATACGCCAACCGTGACAGTCGATGAGCTCAGTACACTGGACTTGTCACCATTCACAGGTATCGTGGATGAAACCAACGAAACAGAAACCGACCCCAGTTGTTCACACTGGAGATTTACAAACAGTAAGATAATTCATACGTATCCGGAAAATACTGTTGTGAGATTGTATGCATTTCAACAGCATTTAAATTTTACCGTAGGCAGAGAAGTCATATTCATTCTTAAGAGATTGTTAAAGTTCTTAATAAGTGCAGTTTGTCGTATACTGAATGAAAATAAAAACTTCACAATTCATATTCGTAAATAAAAATATGCATTGTTATAGTAGTCCCAAAGTATCAACAAAAAAGTCATTGCAGCAAATTTATGTCAATCCAAACATCGTGCACCCCACAATAGTGCTAAAACGTGTTTTTCACGTGCCACTGGTCTGGTGCTATTATCATTGCACATGCATTCGCGATCGCACATGTTCCCATCAACTGTACAAAGTCAAAAAAACCTTTAAAGCACTAACAAGAACAGCCAATTCTTATGCCGCGCCTCTCAAATGTGCAGTGTGAACGTGCGTGCCATTGGCATGCTGGAAGCGGGAACCTCAGTAAGTGACGTTGCAAGGCCAACGGGGTGCAGCCGTCGGACTGTTTATGATGCACAGACTCGACTGCTACCAACTGGCACCACTTCTGTTGGCCCTAGGCCAGGTCAACCACGTGTGACGTCACAGGCGAAGGGCTGTCAAATAGTGGTACGTTACCGTTTTTTTGACAGCTACAGGAATCAGCTGTGTAGGGGTGTGTATAGAGGTCGATTGTCGACACAAACCATTCGAAACTGGCTGCGAGCTGCTGACCTTCGTGTTCGACGACCAACATAGCGGAACCAATTTGGCGCCATTACATCGACGTCAGCGTTTGCTGTGGGCCCCTTGACACCTCCGATGGACTCAAAATGTACCCGCAGATTCACTGATGGTAGGACGAGAGTGTGGAGGTGACGCCGTGAACGTTATGCTCAGTGTTGTCTACAGGAAGTTGACAGATTTTGGGGCGGAAGTGCCATGGTTTGTGGTGCTTTTGGTGGAATTGACTATTCCCGACTTATCCACGCCATGGGTATCTTAATGCTGCAGGTTACCGCGACCAGGGGCTAGCCCCCCAAACTTATTCCATTCATGGCAGCACATGGTCACGATCTGCACTTTTAACATGACAATGACAGACCCCACTCAGTGTCGTAGCTGGTGTTTGGGCGTTAGTAAACCCTACAACAGTTACCTACTAATTGTGGCCGGTCCAATTGTCAGGGGAAGATTGTAGCTCGGGCGCTCCACCCGTTTGGTCCGTGGCAGGATGCTAAGTGCAGGAGTTAGGGGTCGGACGACCGTGACTCCTAGCTACCCGCATTACATTCATGTACTGGCACACATACACTCATAGACAAACGAAACACCAAGTTATACTCACCTAGTTTACTTTGTCTCAGTCCATCTCTAAATACAACTTCATCAACAGACAGGGTAGGCTCGTACCACACGGGGCGACTGAGTGGCGTGGACTGGCTTCCCTCACTTAAAAGCGCGCAGCACTTGCTCAGTGCCAAACCTATCTGTTTATATGGTTCGAGCCTGGCCTGATCTTGATCACATGTTTCAACTCGTTGTTTTGATTCGTTAATCCTATATCCATCCTAGCACTCATGAATATTACGATTGGAAATTATTGGTAAATACCGTTCGGTAACTGTCCCCTTTTATTTATCTGTTATTTTGTTCTGTCTCTCACGACAGATATATATCTAACTTATGGCTAAACGTCATTATTTTTAGACTTTCTGTCTCCCAACAGTGTCTAGCCTTTATCAATCATGAGCCAAACTGCAAATCTATAAAGAGAGTCTGATGTACTTCTCTTACTGATTTAGGGATGCATTTTTACCTTATAACATCAACCATTTTAACCATGGATTACCTGCAGAACGCAGGGAAAAAAGGTTCTTGACTGGCCGTCAAGGTCACCAGATCTCAATCAAATCGAACACTTCTGGGATGCATTTGGTAGACGTCTACGCACTCTCAGGAACCAAACGCAGAATTTGCAGGATCTTGGTGCTGCTTTGCAGGAAAGCTATTGAACGTTTGGAACTTCAGATGTAATTTCTTCTGACTTGACACTTTGTTTACGCCTTTTATTGATTATGTAATCACATGGAACCGATTTTCGGCATTGCGATTATTTTCAAGTTATCCTATGGACCTTAACAAATAAATGATAACCTCGATACCACATTCTTGTGTCCTTTCTTTTATATTAATATTTTTAGTATATGATTGTGAAGTTTCTAGTTTAACTCAGTATACTAGTATAGGTGTACTTTTAAGTGCAGTTAGGTGTAGTTTTCAATGTGTAGTTAGGTGTAGTTTTCAATGTGTAGTTAGGTGTAGTTTTCAATGTGTAGTTAGGTGTAGTTTTCAATGTGCAGTTAGGTGTAGTTTTCAATGTGTAGTTAGGTGTAGTTTTCAATGTGTAGTTAGGTGTAGTTTTCAATGTGCAGTTAGGTGTAGTTTTCAATGTGTAGTTAGGTGTAGTTTTCAATGTGCAGTTAGGTGTAGTTTTCAATGTGCAGTTAGGTGTAGTTTTCAATGTGTAGTTAGGTGTAGTTTTCAATGTGCAGTTAGGTGTAGTTTTCAATGTGCAGTTAGGTGTAGTTTTCAATGTGTAGTTAGGTGTAGTTTTCAATGTGTAGTTAGGTGTAGTTTTCAATGTGCAGTTAGGTGTAGTTTTCAATGTGTAGTTAGGTGTAGTTTTCAATGTGTAGTTAGGTGTAGTTTTCAATGCAGTTAGGTGTAGTTTTCAATGTGTAGTTAGGTGTAGTTTTCCATAAGTGCAGTTAGTTCTTAGTTCTCACTGACCGATCATTCAATGGTAGTCATAGCTACACATGTTGAAAAGATGAATTCTCAGTAATGTTGTCAACAGTCAATACTAACATCGTTACTGATTTAAAAACTGAATGTTAAAATCGATGAAAAGCTCAGTATTTCGGTCGCTGGATGCTGTACACAAACATGTAGCTCAGCAGTGTTTAAAATATTTTTGAACATTATTTTGATCCAGTTTTGGTTCATAACAAAAGGAGTAAGACAGTTAGTCCAGCTGTATACTAATTTAGGGTAGTCATGCAAGGGCTCAAATATGATAATAGTTCATTCATATCCCTTATTGAGGTACCTTTTTCACCTTATTTAGGTACTGCCAAAGCGAAGCATGAACAGACAAACAGGCCCACCACTTTTACACTTATGTACCGCTCACAGAGACGTAGAGTATCGTGTACATTTAATACTATAAAACCTGTTACTCTGATATATGTAAGGGGCAGATAACAGTTATTTTTGTTGACTGTGCATAACCATAAACAAATACTCATAGGCCGTTGTCTTTAGTGTCTGTGGTGTTTTCTTGGTATTTATATTACACACAGTTTGAGAGAAACAACATGAGAACTTTCAAGTTGTATCTCACTGACACCACTTTAAGATCTTTTAATTGACTTCGCTGTAAAAACAGTTGAACAAAACGATATTTCGATTGTATATACTATAGACATTTCCATAATTTCTAACATTGTATGTTGTAGTTATTTGAGATTTAATAAAAATGTTTTGTTTTTTTCCTGTTGTAGTTCAAGAGGAACTGAAAAACCTGAAAATGCGTACAACAACAATAAAAAGAGTAATGTACACATACATGCTTTGGATAAGTTCTTACATCGACTTAAATGAGCACATATTGTAACATACATTTTTGTATACCCACGACATACGTAAAGGTGTTATAATGAAACATACCACTGGACTGACATAGCAGCGACAGCATCATGTCTCAGATGATGGTTGTCACACAGACAGTTACCTATATCAGATTCTATGTGTATATAGTTTATTAGGAATAATTGTTTTAATCAATTAGATGGAAAAGGTATTAAATGTATTTTTCAGGAGGTGGACAGCGTTAAAGGGCAGATAGCTGTATTGAAGAATGGTGAGTCCATGAGAAACCTAATTATATACTTTATTTTGGTCTGAAATATCTGGCAGTTAATTCTCAGGATTCAAGAATAGTGACTTATTTCAAAACTCCTTTTTGTGATCCATTCAAACAATTTTCACAGCTAGTTTTGAATTCTAAACTTGATAGAGTCGAATAATCCAGAAATGTTACTCTCTGATATTGACAATGTATTTGTCGATTGTACTTTAGTCTGCACATTATATTGCTTTCCAGATGAATGGGAGGGACAAATGAACTTCCTTTTTGAAGAAATGGACGTGTTAAGGATGTTTTCTGCGAAAATAAAGCACGTCATGACTGTGAGTGATGTGAGAATTCGTGAAATATTTATTTAAACCTATTACACTATCAAGGGTGAAGACAAAAATCGCCACAGCAGTAAAACTTAACAACGACTTGGCCATTCAAGACATGTCCCAGCTAACACCGCCTACAAGACCAATAATAACAATGAGAGTATACCCCATCCCTGGCTCATCTCTGCATTGCACATTACATTTTAGGTATCGGCCAATATGTATACGCAAGAACCAAACTTTTTTTCACCATTGGTGACATAAACTAGGCACATAAAGAAACTGTGCATACAAAAATTTAAAATCTAAATTTATCAAATCTGTGTAGACACATAAGGATTTAAACTCAGAGATTAGTGATATGTATCCAACATGCATGCACTCGCTACGTTCCGTGATGTCAGTGGTTTCGTCCTTGAGACGTGCAATACGTTGTGGAACGTGCAGTCCGGGAAAGAGAAACAGAGCAAATGAATGCTACAAAATACTGTCACTTTGGAAAGCTTAACTCCTGCCCGTGCAATCGTTCAAAAAATTAAACGGCTATTGAAACGCATAGCATGCCAAGGCTCACGTCTGCACAACGTCATGAGGCCATTGGGATGGTCCGTGGGGGAATGTCTCAACGACAAGTGGCTGCACATTTCCACTGCCACCGGAACAACATTTCTGCACTGGTGAGACGCTACCAGAACACAAATGACGTCATCGATCGACCACGTTCTGGACGTCCACGTGTAACAACGCCAAGACAGGACAGATGGATAAGGGAGACCCATCTTCGCCACAGGTTTCAGACTGCAGTGATGACTGCCCGAACCATCCCAGGACTTCGCCGTATCCACCCCAACACAGTTTGACAATGTTTACGTCATGATGGGATCAGACCACGACGTCCCGCCATAAGGCCTATCCTGACACAACGTCATCGACAAGCTCGCCGAATGTGGTGCCGAAATCATGTCCGCATGGACATGGTGGAGAAATGTTGTATTTACAGATGAGTCCAGGTCTAACATTTCCCATAGTGATGGACATCAACGTGTCTATAGACGCGTGGGAAAACGTTATGCACAGGCCTGTGTCTTGGAGAGGAATCGCTTTGGTGGTGGTTCCGTGATGATTTAGGGTGGAATAACAGCACGCCATCCCACAAGCCTTCCTTGCACGTTTAGTAGGCTCTATGCGTCGTCGATGCACTGCTGTTCTCAATGCCGATGGTGGACATACCCGTTATTGAGATTGTGACAAGGTCGTTTGATCCCTGTCCCGCTTGTGGACTCGCTTGTGGACTCAGTTGAAATTCGCCCGACTTGTTATGGTCTCATGATCCCTCCATTACATTTTATATGCACCTTTGACATTGTTATCGTACTTATCAACTGGGATAATATTTTGACAATGCACAGTTTCTTTATGTGCCTAGTATATAAAAAATAGACACATGAAAAGTCTGAAATGCAACGGTGAAAAAACGTAATCTCTCTGTGGTTTCGTTGATGGGCGAGAGTGAAGCAGACGGCTTTTTGGCAACTTTTAATCGCTCGGTATTAATTAACCACAAGTTTTTTAAGAGGGAATTTGGTGTGCCACTGAAGACTAACCACAAGTCTTTCACATGTAATGGTTAAAAGTGTACAAAAAAAACAAAGTTTCTTCGTTCTTTAAGGCTGAAATGCAACGGTGAAAATATTTTGCGTCATGATTCATTTTTAAAGTTGTATTTATCTATTTTTGCTTCTCAATATTGTAGGATCGAAAGAAGAATGCACTTCGACACTCTCCATTTGACGACCTTTCATCACCAGGTGAGAGTGGGGAGTTTGAACACATCGTGTGGATACATGAACTAACGTGTCAGTCATGCAGAGATATCAAGGTGTTAGCAACTTAGACTATGCTCGTCAGTCCTTTAGAAATATCCTTCTTTCTTTCTTATTGAGTCAGAATATTATCTTTACAATTCAACAGATCTATTCTGTTACAGAGTGTGACGGTTGGGATCTAATGGCTAACTGGATGAAACCTCTACTCGTTGAGTTTAAACAGAGAATATACGGACAGAATGACGTACTGCACAGTATTAAAGAGGTGAGAATATGAGACAGACATGTTTGTCCAAATTCACACAAATATACATCCATAAGTGGAAGGAAATAGGAATAACCGTGCAAATACAAGTGCCGGACATGTCATTAAAAATCCCAAAGCATAAAAGTTGTATACAACTGTGTAAAACCATAAAGTCATGCATTAATGCAGGAACGTATGTAACTAATACTGTTCTCATTTCATTAGTTTCTAGCTAAAGACAAGATCCTCATTGCCTACATCCAGACTAAAATAGGTATGTATTTGATTTGGAGATCAATCATGCTTATGTTCATCACTCAAGCTCCAGATACTAGAATAAAGTAAGTGGGAAGCTGTACATCTTGACAAATTTCCTTTATGTAAAGGGAATCAAAACTCCAACTTTTAGTCATCCAGCCGACGCCATTTCAATTAGCCTGCATAATCACTGGATGCCAAATAGCGTGAGCCATCCAACAAACTGGGTTTCCGACCAGCAAGGATGTGCCTCGTTGAAAAACGGCAATCCCCTTGAATTCTCATATTCCATTGGATTTTTCACCTTGCAAATTCATATATGTGGGTATATGCGCATCCACAATTATGAACTTCAGTATTCAGCAATTACATGTATAATTATTTTTGCGACAATAGATTTCTCCCAAAGTAGTCAAACAAGCGACGACTTGTTCAGGCAGATCGTATTCAATACAACAATTACTACTCCCTTCTTGTCGCTCAGTGGGTTTTTTACTTATCTAAACACTACACTTGAGAATTTTCGTCATTCACTTGATGCTCGGTTAATGCCTTTATTACAGGTATTAATTACTTGTGACAGCACTCGGATTACCGAGACAATGCAATTTAACTCAATAAGTACACCCATACCTCTAAAGGTGGCGGCGCAGAAAACGAAGAACGGCCAGTTAAGTTGCCAAAACAACCATCCCATTAACAGATATGTTGTTTGATTATTCACTGTTGTCTTTCACTGTGGGTTTGTCAAAGGTGTTTATATATGCAGGTTTATTAAAGTAGACAGGAATCCACCCACATCTTGGCGTTGTGTAAAAGCAAATACTTTGTTCAGAGGATTAGCCGATAATATGCTGTTCATTGTTGTCTAACTAAATTAATATCGTGAGCATAGATGTCACGTGTGCTATATTTCAGCTATCCAATGAGTCATCACACTGATGAGAAACAGTTGAAAGAAATAATCAGATGAACACGGGCTGTAATATCCCGAAACGCCTCATACAAAGACACGTGACATGTAACAAGTTTCCTTGTACATCTGTAGATGTATGGGATATTGTTCTTATGTGTGGATGTTAACGGATATAATCCTCAAACAAGTTCATTGTCTGATTGTCTGAAAACATTTTTAGTGTGAACTGCGATATTTGCTTTTGGTTTTCAATCATTTGCTCTTATAGAAACACGCGAGGCCTGAATGGTCATTGATCAATGTCTTCCGACAGTGAAAATGATCAATTATTCCTGAGTGCTATTATTTTATAAACTATCTTAAGTAACGGCTGGAACTAAAATCGCTCGATATTTAGATACCTTGTTAGAGACTGCCGGATTGTTGGGAAGTTTTGATGCAATTACTATGGGTAAAATAGAACACTCTATGCTAACGTGGAACCTTTTATTAAACTTAAAGGAAGAGGATAAGAGTCCCCACAACGAATGTAACGAATATCGTTCGTATGTGCAGTGTGATACGTCAGTACTTCCGGACAGCTTTATGAGTTCGAGTGAAATTGCATGAAGTATTGAGTGTACTGTGGAGAAACTGTAACTGTCAAGTAAACATCAGACCGATATAAACTGTGCATATGCGGCGTTCGTTGAATGTGTGAAAACTGAAATGACTACAAAGCTACAAGCTAAGAAAGTTACTGTGAGTGATGTATCTAGCCGGAGAAAACGCAGATGTAGAAAGCCCTAGTGGAGTGAAGAGCTAACCTATATGTGGCCGAGAGGGAGTGGAGTCAACACAGAGGTCCAAGGAGGCACCAATATAAGACTGTGTGTGTAGAAAAGAGAAAGAGTTTCGACAGATGTGTTACTAAAGCTAAACGCCATTATGACTGTTAGACTTTGCTGATATTGAAAAGTTTTGCCAAACAGAACCCGGTGAATTCTGGAAAGGAATAGGAAAAGTTTCAGTAGGAAACAGGAGAACTGAACAAATCCCCTTTGAAGTGAAATTGGGTGATGGACGCGTATCTAGTGATAGAGAATGTGTTTTGGGAGCCTGGAAAGATGCATACTCGGACCTGTTGAACTGTAACGCAGACACTACTGGAGACAGTGTAGAGTGTGATACGGGATGTGAAGATGCGAATAGTAATCTCAACAAAATGGTTTCCAGGGATGAAGTCCGACAGGCGATTCTACAGACGAAAAGTGGTAAATCAGGGGGATGTGACATGTTACCGTCCGCAGTTCTAAAGAATGAACAATGTCTGAATTTTATACATAAACTTATTAATACTTGCTTCCAAGTTGGAAAAATACCCGACCTCTGGACAAGGGGTATAATCACCCCAGTACCTAAAGGTTCTACAGCAGACCCAGAAATCCCCTGTCGTATAGGGATATTACTTTGGCGAATTCATCGTACAAGATTTATTGTTGGATACTAAATAATAGACTCTCAAAGCACGCAGAACTGTATGATCTGCTGTCAGATTACCAAAATGGATTCAGAAGAGTTCTACAGTTGATCATGTGTCTACCCTGACTTCTATTGTTGAAACTAGAAAATGTCAAAGAAAATGTACCTTCGTTTGTTTTATAGACTTTTGTAGGGCGTATGATTGCATTGATCGACACATCTTATGGGGAAAACTACGAAACATCGGTATTCATGGAAAAAAATTTAATACCCTATTATCCTTATATACAGACGTGCAGTGTTGTGCGCGTGTGAGTGGGCGGTACACACCGTGGTTCGATGTAAAGTGCGGCCTTAACCTTTAGCCTGCTGAATTAATTTCAGCATAGGGCGTTGTAAAGAGGGTGGGTGATTTCAAACAGTTGGTGTGTCATTTATTAGGGGACAACTGAAAAAATATTTGGCACATTAATACTTGATAGAAAAATGAACATTATGATCTAAAAACATCCTGATAATTTCAAACATACAGAGGTTAATGACAAGGCAAGCATAAATAATGCATTGTTTTCCGAATGTACCTGAATTACTTATTGACAGTGGAATGCGTTTCATATAAGGAACCTGAATAAATCGTTAAATTAGCGGAAACCGATTTCAATATTCTTATTTCAGATATCTCATAATTAGCTGACTTTAAATTCGTATGTTTGTATCGGCAATCATCAGCGCGACGATAAATTAAAAAACATTTCTGAAAAATAATAATCGGAAACGTTCGTCATAAACAAATCGTGTTTTCGATGTCAGTTGTCATCACATGTTTTATTCAAATGACTCTATTACGTTTATTTCAACGTGTCATGTCATGAAAATTGCAGAATAAAATATATGATTTATGAATATTCACGAGTCCTAATTTCAAGTGTTATGGTTCATTATTTCGACACAAGCCCACGGAAAAACAGTGTTGCAGTGTGTTACACGTACGAAAAACAAACATGCTATTTTGACAAGAATAAAGTTCACAGGACTTTCGTGCCCTGGCGAAAGTTGAAGAATCTTTCATTCTACACGTGTTTAATTTATCATTTTCAGTATACTATGACAAGAGAGAACGAAAAGAATATCGCGAAATCCAACTTGTTTTCTGGTAAGTGCAAAGGTCACCGGATGTGATGTAACAGACAGGGGTTGTCTGGTAAAAATCTTTCGTCTTTGAATACTAACAGTAAATTAGGAAAAGTTTCGTCTGGCAAACCCAAATTTAAGTCATTTCTCCATTTAGAATGATTAATCTTAGCTCATGGGAATAAAACATGTTGTTTTTTACTATACAATTAGCATATCACGGAACCAGTCCGACTTTGTATACTCCCGTGACCCGGAAACAGTAGTCGATCAAACACCCCCTACCCTGAGTTCCATGCGGCCAGCCAGTACAAACGTTTACCAACATCGGCCTCAACAACAGGTGCGCGTGACAAAATTTGTTTCAAAATAACATTCATGCTTTTCTTATTGTGACAAAATATGATGCGTGATGCTTATGTATTATATTGTATACTAAAATATAGTACAATTATAGTTTCACTTGAAATTAGGGATGATATAATACATTTTGCGTTCATATTACATGTATGCCAAATTTATAGTCTCACTTCAGAACAATTTTAATTTCATAGATAAATTTATGATAGATTTGTAATGCTTAATGTTTCACAGCTGGTTACAACTTTAAACATTTTCATATACCGGTATGTTAATTATTATTAATAATATGATTAGTGTTTTTCTCTCCCAAATGGTGATGGGTAAAGACACTGAGGATATATCAACGCATTAGCAAAGTGTAAATAACCAACTTTCAATTACTGCCTTTCAGTGATGTGGAAAACTAACAATTTGACATAATTATTTAATACAACTATACCATAAAATATATGGATAGAAGTTTCATATTATTTTGTGTATTTTGTTTCTATACAATATCTTGCTAAAATATACCTTAAATACAGATGGGTGATGAACTATTTTTCATTTCAACAGTAACTCTTTGTTTTGTGAATTAAATCATGAATAACTAGTGTCATTTATGCAGTTGCGGTAACAGTATATTTATCAGAAAATGTTATCATCTGATGAAAACAGAGACAATATACATGTGATAAATTATATGGTCTCTGATGAAAGTGAACAGGCCTCATATTCTGTTAAGAATAAAGTAAACAGAAATTATCTTACCTTAGCATCTTTTCCTGGGTTTTGGAGCAATGACATAATATGAAATTAGTCTACTGAACTTTTTTTAAGGATTGTTGCTGTCTGATAGAGTCATATACTACTATCACTACAGTATGTAATATTGCCTCTGCCATCATAAAACAAAAAATGTCAAGAACAGTTTTCTTTCAATTAAAAAATGCCAAAACCTGAGCACACTTTCGTTTAGGGTCTGTATGTATTTTATATTGTCATTGCCACATATATATGGCAATAAAAAAATCCAAATTGAAATCTCAATGAATTAGCTCCAAACTGAACAGCTAAAAATCATTTATTGCAGGGCTTGATTTAGGGGAAAGGAAACCTGTTTGTCGCTGGTGCCACCTTACATGATTACCTTGATGCCTCACACA